ATCCATGCTCCAAACTTTAGGTTTTAGAGCTGCCTGGGGCCTCAGAGTTAGGTGTAGCATCTTTAATTTTGGAACAATTTGAGGTATGTGTCCTTATTTTTTTCATTATCGTCTCCAACATTTTAAAATTCTCCTTGTATTGACTTTTTAAAAATTGATTTATTTCAAAAATGAATCCTTTTTTGTCTTATATATTTTTAAAAATATTTATTTTATTTTTATTGGAAAGTCAGGCATAAAGAGAGGAGGAGAGACAGAGAGGAGGATCTTGCGTCCTTTGATTCACTCCCCAAGTGGCCGCAGTGTCCGGAGCTGTGCTGACCCAAAGCCAGGAACCAGGAGTGTCTTCCGGATCTCCCACATGGGTGCAAGGTCCCTAAGGCTTAGGGCTGTCCTCGACTGCTTTCTCAGGCTACAAGCAGGGAGCTGGATGGGAAGTGGGGCGGCCAGGATTAGAACCAGCACCCACATGGGACCCTGCTGTGTACAAGGCTAGGCCTTTAGCCATTAGGCTACTGTGCCGGGCCCTTTGTTTTACACACACACACGATTTATTTTGTTTTTACTGCAAAGTCAAATATGTACAAGGAGGAGGAAGAGAGGAAGATCTTCCGACCAATGATTCATTCTAGAAGTGACTGCAACAGCCAGAGCTGCACTGATCTGAAGCCAGCTGCCAGGAACTCTTCCGGGTCTCCCACATGGGTACACGGTCCTAAAGCTTTGAGCCATCCTTGACTGCTTTCCAAATCCATAAGCAGGGAGATGGATGGGAAGCAGGGTTGCCAGGAATAGAACCGGCGCCCATATGGGATCCCGGCTTGTGCAAGGTGAGGACTTTAGCTACTAGGTTACTGTGCTAGGCCCTATCTTATATTTTTAATAATAAGAGCTTCTATGTCTCATTGATGATAGATATTCTAAAAAACAGGTATTATTTTTGTAAAAGCATTTATATATTGAAAGGAAAGTTAGTGAGAGAGATAGAGAGAAGAGGGAGGGGAAATATTGCATTCATTGGTTCACTCTGCAAATGGCTGCAACAGCCAGAGTGGCAGATTAACTCACCATGCCACAACACTGGCTGCTACATGTGCCGTTTAAATTGGGGTTTGGCAAACTTTCCAGCAAAGGACTAGACAAAAGTTGTTTTAGAGTTTTGGACCTTGTGCTTTCCAAACCAGCTGCTGAATTGTTGAAGCTGTACAAATGAGGCCATAGATAATTTATGAATGAACAGGTGTTCTTGTGTCTCAACCAAACATTGTTATGGACACTGAATTTGAGTCTGATATATTTGTTATGGAAAGTCCTAGTAAGTTTCTTAACCATCTGAAGCATCTTGAAACCATTCTTAGCCGATTAGCTGTACAAAAACTTCACGTTATCTGTGGCCTGTATAGTTTGTTAGATAACTTGGTTTAGATTGTGTCTGTTCCAAATTCCTTATGTTGTGGTGGGCTAATTCTGCTTTGAGTATAAGATATATAATAGTGAGTGGTTATTTTCCTGAGATTATTTTGTTGAGCAATTCCAGAAAGGCTATAGTTGAAAATAAATTTGAATCTGAAAACATAAAAGTGTTAGAAAGTCATATTGGCATTTATAGCAAAATTTTTAAAAGAAATTAATTTACTTTTATTTGAAAGGCAGATTTTTACAGAAAGAGAAGGAGAGACAAGAGAAACCTCTCTCATCCTCTGGTTTACTCTCCAGATTGCTGCAAAGACTAGAGCTGAGATGATCTGAAGCTGGGAACCAGGCGTTTCCTCCCAGCCTCCCATGTGAGTGCAGGGGTTCAAGGCCTGGGACGATTTTCTGCTACTTTCCCAGGCCATAAGCAAAGAGCTGGACTGGCTGTGATACAAACCAGTACCCATCTGGGATTCCTGTGATTGTAGGTGGAGAATTAGCCTGATATGCCACTAAACTGGCTCCAGCAAAGTTTGTAATAGAATAATCTTGGATGTTGTTCAATGAGTAAAGAGCATTAAAGACTGCCGGAGTTCAGCTGCAGCAGAGTTCGGAGCTCGAGAAGGGTGCTTGGAGTCGGCGACAAGAAAAGACACAGATACTGTCACTTGGTGCCTTCTTGCTCCAGCTCAAGAAGCTGTCCTTTTTATTTACTTAGACACATCACAAGCCTCTGCACAAACGTTTGATTTTACTATCTTTTAACTTCAGACTAAGCCGGCATGCACAGATGTTCAACTAATTTTTACTTCATGGTCAACCAGGTGCTCTTAAAGGTAATTCTATAAGTTACTATAATCAGCTTTAAAGCAAGCCATTATTCATTCTTCAGAAGTAGCCATTAGGTGCCAGCCAGAACTCCAAGGCCAAGGCACAAACGGTTGCCTACTAATCAGTAAAACATTCCTACTACATTTTATTTTCACAACTTATCTATCTCTTAATGGGAGAAATACATCAATAGAAAAAATAACATAATGATCTAGGACAAAAAGTTTCAAACATTAAATCCCCCTATGACTGCAGGCTCTAAAACCTCATGAACAATCAAACAATAATCAAAAGTATATCTCTATGATGTTAATAAAATCACCCAATATTTCCTCTAGGTAAAGAATTATGAAAACAGCTAAAACAACTACATTTTCTATGATCTAAAGAGTTGCAAGGACAGGCTAGCTTTTAAGGTCACTGTAACTATATTTTTTGCCATAGCAGTCTCCGCTCATAATCCCATCACTTCCATAAGGCATGTTATATGTCTGGGAGAGATTTCAGGGCAATGGGTAGGTACACAATAAGGTGTCTAGAAATGGCATAGGTTTAATTGTATTCCTGTGCGCAGTTAAAGGCCCACTCACCAAGACACTATCAATAGCATTAACTCTCAAGCTCACGTTGGTTGCAAAAGCCACCTCACAGGGGCAAACAATACCTTAATAGATTATAGAATTCTTAGTGGGGTGGTTCAGTGTCCATGTAAATGGGGGTGAGACCGCATCAAGGTGGTCAGAGAGAAATCTGCTGGGCCCTGCCAAACAGCTGGAAGCTCCCTGGGCACTGCCAAGCAGAGGAGCTGTTCTCTTCACACCTTACTGTCATCCATACCTACTGCACAGGCCCCAGCAAAAGACCATGTTAGTTTATGTAAAAAATATGGGAAAGATCAAACTATAGACAATAACTAAAATCAAGATTATTTGTGTAAATTATTGTTTATACATAGTTTGACAGTTTAGATTGCTTTCAGATAATTTAAAAAGCAAGATCTAATTTTTAGAGTTAAGGAGACTTGGAGACTAAGGAATAGAAGGAAATTAGGCTGTGACAAAAAATTCCTTCTTGAGTTCATATTCTTGTTTTGATTATGTGAACTCAGTCTAATGAGATGCACAATGTTGAGCAGCATTTAGTTAAGATGTCTTCCACCTTGGAAGTTACCAAGAGTCTCAGAAAATGAAGCATATCATTGCCATTAAAACATGTAGGATGTGATTGTTACGGAGTGCAGCCAGTGATTGCTCCTTCACCTCTCCTTGTATACTCTTTCCCCCAAGTCCTGATTCAGCTGGGATGTTGGATGCAGATGAATCCAATTAGTCATTTTAGCTACAAGCGCAGTTCCTGTTCCTGCCCATCCCAATGAGCGCCAATTAACTCCTTAACTCACAACACATAGGTATTCACTCCTGCCCACCTGTGACTCACCTATCAGCTGAGTGGAGAGGGTATTGCCTTGTGTTGTGTAACCACGCCCCTCACAAGCCCCTTTAAAAGGCCCATGAAGTGGAGGCTCACTCTTTCTGGTCGGGTGTTTCCGTTATTCTGACTCCTCGACCCTTGGCTGACCAGGACAGGTAATGCCCTGAGCATGGTTCCCTGTGCACTGCTTAGATGGGACAATGGATATAGTAATGTTGTTTCTGATCTGTGTACTCTCAGGAATTCCAGGAGAGGTGAGGCCTAGCAGTAGTGGAATGTGGGCAGAGAAGCGAAAGAAAGGTGAATGTCTGCAGCTTTGTAAATATATCCAGGTTATTTGTTGCATGTCTATTAGGAAAATTTATATTGTTGGGGAAGCTGGGACATAGGTCTTTGGCTGGCTGGCTGGATGGATTTAAGGGTAATGACCATTTGTTCCCCTTTGGATTATGACTGGGTTGGATTGCCATATGGACTTGTGATCTGTTTCTAGCATGTTCTGTTATCACCAAGCTTGGTTAATAGACTCCGTTATAAAACCTTAGACATGTCTGGTGTGATCTCGCTTGCACCCCATAACAGTGATATGTATTGACAAATATTTGGAAAATGTTCATGATAAAATAAATAGCAAAAAGGGTAATGAAATGATTATTTTCCCATTTGGGAAGAGAAAGACAGGTACAGATACAAATAGATTAAGGTGAGTTTATACCAAGTGTTAGTAGTGGTATTGAATTAGTGACTGGTTTATTAATATATAATCATGTTATATTTCTTTTGTATTTTTAATTTTATAATACAATCTGAATACTTCTGTGGTCTAACAAATTATTTCTAATTGGTCAGTCTGTTTTCTAGAATTGATTGTATCATTCAGGATACAGTAAGTGATGTGTTTTATGAAAAATTTTTACTTGAAAGCTAGACATAAAGAGGGACATAGCCAGTGAAATCATTCATCCGTTGGTTCACTTCCACATGCCTGTGACTACTAGGCCTGGGCAAGGCTGAGGCCAGGAGACAGAACTCAATCTCGGCTTCCCGTGTGGGTGGCAGGGACCCAAATACTTGGGTCATCACATTTTGCCCTCAGAGTGTGCATTAGCAGGAAGCTGGAATTGGAAATGAAGGCAGGGCTCAAACCCAGGCCCTATGCTATGGGTGAGGGCATCCCAAATTACATCTTAACTGTTGTGTCAATTGCTCACTTCAGTAAATCATATTTAACCATCAGATAATATTTGACTTCATTTGGAATCCTTTGGAAAAAACTTAGTTATTGAAATTCCTTTAGCTAACTGTCATTTGTAATTGTTTTCCAGGGTGACGACGATGCTTACATATGTATTCATGAGGATCAGATGGTGCATGTACAGCCTTCCCATTTGACAGGGCGAAGTCACCCTGTGATGGAATCAAAGGTAGGCAGAAACTTGGGCCCCTCCACCTGACTGGTTCATCTTATGTGGCTGTCCCCAGTGTTTGTACTGCAGGTTAGCTCTGAGTTCCGTAGTTAGCAGCTTAGCTTAAGCAGTGGCCTGGTAGCTGTGTCCCTCTCTCAATCAGAATCTGTGTGAAACACAAATTTCTCTTGTAGAAAAATATGACCTGCTAAAAAGAGTTATTTAGTTGGAAGGCACAATGACAGAAGGCGAGCAAGGGAGAAATATGTTGTATTCATTGGTTCACTCTTCAGATGACCACATTAGCTAGCCTGAACGCAGGAAATAGGAGCTCCTTCTGGTCTCCCAAGTGTATGGCAAATGTTGAAGTACTTGGACCATTCTTTCCCAGTTGCATTAGCAAGGTGGTGGATTGGGAGCCAAGCAGCAAGGACTTGAACCTTTGTTCTGATGTGGGATGCTGTGATTATTTATTCCCCTATACCAGATTGATGATCCCTGAATTTTTTTTTTTTTTAGTTATTTTGAAAGAGTTAGAGAGAAAGAGAGAAAGAGATATCTTCCATCTTCTGGTTCACTCCCTACATGGTCACAATGGTCAGCCCAGCCTCAGGCCAACATTAGGAACTACCAGGTTCATCCTGATCTCCTATGTGGATGGCAGGGACCAAGCACTTGGGCATCTTCTGTTGCTTTATCCCAGGCCATTAACAGGGAGATGGGTTGATGTGGATAATCCAGGAGATGGACTGGTGCCCAAACAGGTTCCTGATGTCACAGGCACTGCTTTGCCAGAATGCTGATCCCCAAACATGATTTTTTGCCTGGGTCAGATAAACTCTCTTTGTTGCATTTCACAAAAATTATTTTATGGTTTGTTAAAGCAGCAGTCTCCTTTCAAAGCTTAAAGGTGATATTGAAGAGGTGGCCTACATTAGCGATACAGAGCTGTTTGGTCTGTAGATGTATGGCTTTAAATAAATGCCAATTATAATAAAAGAAGGAAGGCAGCTGAGAAAGTCTGGTTTTGAGCATATTTTGATTTGAGAAGATCAATGGAAGTGCTGGGCATATCCACTGTGTATATTCTCAGGCTGTTCTTGAGGGCGTGTCTTGGAGGTTGGCAGATGGCATCATGCAGTGTTCTTTTCGAAGAAACATCACCTTACCTGGGGTGAAGAATAGATTTGATCTCAACACAAGCTACTACATATTTCTAGCAGCTGGTGCAGCTAATGATGGTAAGTATTTTGATATAAAATGTCTTTTGAAGTTTTGTTTCTGCTCTTTTCTCCTTTTCCCATTCTTTCATAGAAAATACGATAGTCATCTTTTTAAGACAAAGATTTGTTTATCTGTGTTTATTCAATTATTTGAAAGGAAGACTGACAGAGAGTGGGGGTATCTTCCTTCCATTTGGTTCACCCCTCAAATGACTGCTACAGCGGGGGCTTGACCAGGTCGAAGCCAGGAACCCAGAACTCTTGTTCTCCCTCCTGCCATCCTAGGTGTATTAGCAGGATTTGAACCAGCACTCTGGCAAGGGATGCCAGTGTGGCAAATGGTGGCTTAACCTCTCTTGCCACAATGCCAACCCCTGTAATTTACTAATCCTTAAGGTGAACGTTTATGGGTAAAGTATTCTCACCTGTTTCCATTTCTCCTGAAAATTTGACTTGTGGTAGCCTTTTTTTCCTGGGGACTTTATATAGTCAAACTTTCTTCTGATAGCTATTCATTTGGTTTCCTTAAGTGTAGAGATTAAGGCTTGTCCTTTTCTGGGATTTTAGACACTGTCAATGGGATTGTTGTTAGAGATCTTTGCTCTTATGGGAAAATATACCCAATAAAGCTCTGATAACCATGGACCTGAGCTGTCACCAGTGGAAAGAATTGGGAGTAGCTTTTGGCCAGTAGAATCGGGTGCTGCCAAAGCTCCTGTTGAAGGAGAGTTTCCCAGGCTGCCCTTCGGGTGCTGTGTGGATTGCATCCTGCATCTAAGTGGCTCTGCTGTGAAGTAGAGCCCAAGAAGGTTTCAGGAATGCTGCTTAGTTTATCCTCAAATTGCCTTGTTGTATATCACAATATGTATTATAGAAGTAGTCTTATTTTAAGGTCTGAGCTATAACACTTTGAACTGTAGGAATGCCAGTGTGGTATTGAGTGACTCTTCTCTGGAGATAGTGTTGTTTCAAGTTTTGAGAATATAGCCAACTTTGAAAATGGTGAGGAAAGTGGCATATGGAATGGAGAGTTGGCATGGGAGCTAGGGTAAACAAAGAGGAAAAGCAGAAAATGTGTTGCAGGCAGAGTTGTGAAAAGCCTTGGGTATTCTATCACGTGGTTTGGACTTCCTAGTATGGGTATGGTGGAGCCCCAAGCGAGTTTGGAAGCAGGGTAAAGATCTCCTGAGTGTTAGAGAAAATCTAGGAACGTGTATGTTTACGAGTAGGAGCAGTTATCTTAGTCAAATCATGGATTCTTGTTTGCCCAAGCTGTAGCAAATACAGCTTAAAGTTCTTGGGTAAATGGTGATAAGGACTAAAATGACTTAGTGGTTTCTGGCTAAACATTTTAGGTTTACCCTTCAATTTTATCTTCATAAATGGAAACCCAGGTTTGTAATGTTTATTTCCCCTAGGAGGGAACTGAGGCTTAGGGAGATGATGCCATTTGCCTAGACAAGTAATGGCAGAGCTAAAGTTTAAAAACCCCAGCTCTGTTCTTCAGGGCCTGTGTGTGCAGTAATTTAGAACATGGGGAAATTAAAAATGAATTTTTAAAGAGGACAAGATCAAATGTTTGTGTTTGGAAGCAGTTACTGCTGAAGTGTGGGGGATACTGTTATTACTGCAGTCATAACTTACAGCATGGCACACTCATCTCATTTACTGCTCACAGAGGCTTTACCAATTGGAATCATGTTGCCCAGATAAGGATACTGGGACCTAGAAATGCTGAAAAGCTGGCTTGTTCCAAATGAACCGAGCAACAAAAGCAGGCATTAAAACCAGGTCTTGCAATTGTAAAAGCTGTGCCCTTCCCAAAATTCCAGGCTGCTTCCTTTGCTACCCAGCATGTCCTAGGCGAGCCATGAATGATTATGAGCTCGAAAGTATTTAAATTGTGAAAGTGCTTAGTGCTTTTGGTATTTACAATTTTAAAGCACACAAATTATACTTTAAAAGAATAGTGGACTGGCCATTGTGGCTCCACGTGGTAAGCCCCCACTTGGGAGACTTCTATCACATGTTGGAGTGGCTGGGCCAGGTCCTGCCTCTTCTTGTTGAGTCTCCTGCTAACGCACACCCCAGCAAGTGGCAGGTGAGGGCTTCAGCATGGAGTCCTTGCCATCCTGGAAGCCCGGATAGAGTTCCTTGCTCTCTACTCTGGCCTTGCCCAGCCTTGGGCATTGTGAGCACTCAAGGAGTGAACCAGCAGATGGAAGATCTTTCTCTCTGCCCTTTTGTCTTTTAAATAAAGAAAAAAGGAAAAGCAATTCTATTTAAAGGGAGAAAGCCTGTTGAATAATAAATTGTATGTGTGTATAAGAATGTATATGACAATGGCAAATGTTTCTGGACAGGTCCGCATCTTATAGAAGGTATGGTTTAAGTGATGGTTGTAACCGTCCCTTAGAAAGCCCTAGTGAGTGTGTGGTGTGTATGAAGAACAGAGCCTTGCTTCATCTCTCATCTGCCTGTACTGCTGTGTCATAAGCATGGCGGGAGATCTGTATCTTGCCTCTTGGGTTGTTTCTCAAAGTGTGGAGTTGAAGCAACTTGCTTTAGAACCGCCCAAGTGGTTGCTGCAAGTGAAGAGCCCTAAGCTCCATCAAGACGACTGAATCTCTGATGCTCAGACCTGATTTCCAGCAGCATTTCAACTAAGTGCTGCAGTTTACTAACTTAGTGCTTTTAGACAGGGCTTTCTCAGCCGAGTTGCACATGACAAGGTAGTCCAGGAGAGATGAAGAACAAAGCTAGAACTTTCTCATTATATTTATTTGATCCCATTTAACATTTTTCTTTTCTTGTTTTATTATACAGCATGTATAATGTGTTAAAGCAATGATACATGAAGGTGTTAACAAAAATGCACAAATGTTGCATGTACATGTTTTAAGCCAATAGAACACAAAGCAAACAAAGCAAAATACCTGGAATTACAAATTTTAAGATTGCTTCTCCAGATAATTCATTTTTCCAGTTCCTTTGTACTGAAGAACAAAGGACAATTACCATAAAAATCAGTGTTTTTTCTATTACCTACTCATATGTAAGAGAATCATTTATAAATTGAACTCTGCTTAAAAGCAGTGAGACTTGGTAAGGTTTAAACCATTTTTCGAAAAGTGATCATATAATCTCTGTAACCTGTGTAGATATAGTGCCCTCAGTTCGTAAATTCATAAAGATCTATTCATTCAAACTTTTTTCCAGCAGGTGTCTTCCTCAGAAGGCTAACATTTTCCTATTTTGGAATAAGCAGTCATATGAAATATTGTGCTGTAAGTAAAAGATAGAAATAAGTCAGGTGAATGAGTAATTCATGGTTATGCAATGCACCAATATATAGTGAATGAAGTAGAAACTTCCTTATGATGTAAGCTGCCATTTAAAGAATTTAGAAATACTACAGGTCTTATAGCACTGTGAAGTCTGGCGTTACACAAGAACAAACACTCTGTTAAAGTGAAACTGTAAAGTAAGAATAGAGCTGTGCAAAAGGGCTCTAAATTTATAGTGCATTTCTGCTTCCAGCAAGGTGAAGTTCATGCTCGGTCCACAGCTCCATGGTGATTCAGTTTAAAGACCTTTATCTTTCAAACTAGCTCTCAGACTCTTTGGGGATGTAGTCCTTTTTTCCTCCCTGCCACTCAATGCAGGATGTCTGGCTCCCCAATACTGATTGTTTTCTACATTTTCTTTTTGATGTTTTTGTAGTTCCTGATGACTACAGTCTCTTTTGTCTTGATACTGTTTTTCCTTGGTGTTTATTACATGAAACTCCTCTCATTTCTCCTTTATTTCTAATCTTTTCTGTTATTAGAGACATAATTCTCTTATGCTTCTTATTCCCACAATTTTTTTATTTTTAAAGATTTATTAATATTTGAAAGGCAGAGTTATGGAGAGATGGGGAGAGCTGGAGGGAAGGAGAGAGAGAGAGATAGACATATGTGTGTATATATATATATATATATATTTGTGTAGATATCTGCACAAATAGATAGATCTTTCATTAGCTGGTTCTCTTCCCCAAGTATGTGTAATGGCCAGGGCTGGGCCAGGTCAAAACCAGGAACCTGGAACTGAATCAGGATTGCCATGTGGGCATGTGGGTACATTGGTTTACTGACTGAAGCCCCAAGCCCCCCCCTCCATTTTTTTTCTGTGTTCCCAGACACATTAGTAGGGAACTAGATTGGAAGTGGAAGACTTGGATTGGTATCCATATGGGATGCTGATATTTGCAGAAAGTGGCTAAACCCACTGTATCCTAGAGCTATCCTTTTGTGTATCTCATCTTCTACATGACCTTTAGAAATGATTTGCCAAATTTTATTAAAAATCCTGTAGGGATTGTGATAGAAACTGCAATGAAATTCAAAGTTAATTTGGAGAATATCAAATGTATTTTTGACAGTGATTGAGATGATATTTAATTACTGTTACTTGATACATTTGTAGGATAAGCCTTGCTCATGTTTTATTAATGTTAATACACAACTTTGATTCACTAATATATTTAAAGACTTATTTATTTTGATTAGAAAGGCAGATATACAGAGAGAAGGAGAGACAGAGAAAGATCTTTCATTTACTGGTTCACTCTCCAAGTGGCTGCAATGGCCAGAGCTGAGCTGATCCAAAGCCAGCAGCCAAGAGCTTCTTCTGGGTGTCTCATGTGAGACTGGGCACCCAAGGCTTTGGGCTGTCTTTGATTGCTTTCCCAGGCCACAGGCAGGGGGTGGTTGGGAAGGGGAGCAGCTGGGACACAGACTGGTGCCCATATGGAATCCCGGCATGTGCAAGGCCGGGATTTTAGGTGCTAAGCTATCATGCTAGGCCCTGATTCACTAATATTTAAGCTTTTTTACGTTTATTCACAGTTGATTTTGATTGGTGGTTGTGTGTTGTCTGTGTGGGTGATGAGCAATCATGTGGACTCGCACATGCCTAGTTTTGGTGTCAGCATTAGGCAAATCTTACGGAATGATCTGTAAAATAGTTTAATTGAGCTAAAAATTCTAAAGATATAATGTCTTTTGATGGTATGGTAGAACTCATACTTATAACAACCTGAATGTGGAGTGGAAATATGGAAAAAGCCTATTGTAATTACTCTTTGGAGTGTCTACTTTCGTTGGCCAACTTCTAGAATCCCATTTTCTTAGAAATTAATGTATTTCATTAATTTTGAAATTTTTAAGTCTGATGTATATAGTCTTAGATATGAGTGTATCCAATTAGCCATTTTTATTCCACATAGTTAATTTTAAGTTGTGATACTTTTATCTTGTAATCAGAGCTGGGTTTTTTTAGATTTATTTATTTTCATTGGAAAGGCAGATATACAGAGAGGAGGAGAGACAGAGAGGAAGATCTTCTGGCCGATGATTCACTCCCCAAGTGACTGCAATGGTCAGTAGTGTGCTGATCCGGAGCCAGGAGCTCTTCCGGGTTTCCTGTGCGGGTGCAGAGTCCCAAGGCTTTGGACCATCTTTGACTGCTTTCCCAGGCCACAAGCAGGGAGTTGGATGGGAAGTGGAGCTGCTGGGATTAGGACTGGGGCCCATATGAGATCCCGGCGTGCAAGGCGAAGATTTTAGCCACTACTCTATTGCACCAGGCCCTATAATCAGAGCTATTAAGAAAAAGTTGACCTTACTGACTGTTTTGGTTCACTAGGTTGCATGTTTTTAATCTATGTTTTCATTATATTTTGATAATCTTTACATAGTTAATTAGGGTAAAAAACGGTTCAAGGGCTACAGGGAAATGGGTAAGACTATCATTTCCATACCGCTTCCTTGATGTATCTGAGGTAAAGAGGGATATAGAGGGAGAAGTCCCACCCAGTTTCCCACCCACCCTAAGTCCCGGATGTGGGGCATGATCTGAGATACTCACTCAAGTGGTTCCAATAGTTCACCATTCATGGATCGCTACCAGTCTCGCCACTCTAAGCTCGATGTGGTCGTTGAAGAATCCACTGATTAACACAGTCTCTTATGGAGTCTCCATTTGCCCAGTATTTCGCTGCCGACAGATAGCTGAGGTTGTTGATTGACTTGTTCTGTCTTTTTTTGGTTAGGACTCTGAGTCCAGTGTCTTGACTGGGGAGATCCTCAAAGAAACTTTGAGGTATTCCCAGTCCAGATTCCTGCGTGTTCTAGCAAGCATAGGACCCAGCACAGTCCATCGCCCCGATCAGCTGGTGGTTGCAGTTGCTGGGTCGGTTCTGTCTCCATGTCCTCCACTGGAACCAATGGGTGTTGCAGTCCAGCCTGGTTCTGCCCAGGACACACCCGGCCCTCACACAAACCAGTAGGAGCTGCAGCCCACTCAGGGCGACCCACAGTAACCCCAACTGGGTCCACCTCCTACCCTGGCTTGGCAGTGTGTATGGCAGACTAGTTTGGTCTGTCCCACATTCCCTACTGCTCACATACATGTCAACGGGTATTGTGACCTTATTCCATCCAACCATATCATCAATCCAGCCCTCATGGATGTTCTTGGGGGTCTGTCTAGCCACCCTAGCCCCTGTCCTAGTTCCCGTGCCCTCCCGTGGAAGGTGATCACCCAAGAGGGAGGAGCCCACTATTTCCCTCCCAGGTCGCTCCCACTCCCAGGTTATGCCCTCTCCAGGTGGCCCTGTGGTTCAACTCGACATGACTAGCCCCCTGTACCAGCCTCCGCCAGCCGATGCTACGATCAAGCCCCAACAACCCTCACCCACTCTGATTGTAGATTGCACCAGTGGGAATAGTCAGCCCAGCCTGGTTTTTGCCCGATCTGGTCCATATGAGGTACGCAGTTGTTGTGGCCCTGCCTGGTCTGGTCTACCCCCTACCCAGCTCATGTTCCCCAGTGGAAGTAGCTGTTCAGCTAGGGAACCACCCCTTATTTTCCTGCCAGCTCTGCCTCTTCCCTTCCTGATTCTTGCGTGTGCTGGTTGGGCACTGCTGCATCCGGCTCAGGCTACCTCACCTTGGCATTCCAAGTTGTGTATTGCTTTTGTCGCGGCCGGACCTGTTTCGACCCACACTCTGTCCTGGCATTTGGATTTACCAGTGGATGACATGAACAGATTCAGCCTGGTCTGCCCCTGAACCATGCCAAATGTATGCCAGTGAGACACTTTCCATGACCTCTTGGCTGTTACCTTCCATGCTTCTTGCGCTGACCTGCAGGGTCTGTGTCCTGCCAGAGGAGTTGCCCGGGCTCCTCCATCAGAACCCCTCCAAGTACCAGGTTTTGTGCATACCAGTGGGTCCATGTGCCAGTTCACCTCATGTCCTAGCAGGAACAGTAGCCTTTCCTAACTGGCCTTCATCCCATTCTGGTTCTTGCTGTTGGATGTTTCAGCCCAGCCACGGCTCGTCCACACTCCCAGATAGCTCGTATATGGCTTAATTGGGGTTGAGACCTAGCCTAGTCTGTCCCACATCTGCCCTGGTCCTCCAGAGCACCAGAAGGTGTTGCAGTTTGGCCCGGCCCGGTATGTCTTATTCCAGTCCACACTTGTGTCAAGGGAGATGATAACTGTATCCTGACCCGACCGCAGCCCCATCCACCTGTCGCGACCCCTGCCTTAGACACCGTGGCTCAACTCTGTGGTTCATATAGACCCGTTGGTGCCAAAACCTAGCTGGGCATGGCTTGAGCTCCACCCTGTTTTCCAATCATGCTTGTGGGCTAAGGTTTGCTCAGTTCAAACCTTCAGGTCTCAGTCCCATGCTTGCATTAAGGTTTCATGTCCCTGTTCCTGGGAATCACCAGAAATTTGTGTCTCACCTACACTAACGCTGGCCTTACTTATGGGTGTCCCTAAGCAGCTATTTCATACCATAAAAACCCCAGAGCTCACCACTGGGCCGCCAGCAGGCTGGGCCTGGCACCATTTGGTGCACTGGCCGCCCAAAGCCAAGGCCTCTGCCCCCGCCTTGTGGCGGGGGCTTTGGCCGAGTCCCCGGTGGGGTTCCGTCTGGCAGGGGCGTCCCCCACAAGTGCCACCTTGAGGAGGGGTTAAGTCTACCCCTTGCCCTGAGACTGGAATCACATTTTGTTTTCAATTAACCTTGAATTCAATACTTTACATATAAACGCCTTATAGACGGTCAAAGCTTCTTTTGGACAGTACGTTGATTGTGTCTCAGTGTTTGATAAAAAGCATCTTCATTGTTACACATCTCTAAGGCAACATTGAGTTCAGTTTTGATTCTCTGTTAAATTCAAAGACTAGTTTCATAAACATGCATGAATAAATATTTATTCATAAACAATTTCACCACTGGTTTCTAATTACTTTTTAGCTTTGCTTCATTGGATAGATAGCATTGAAAATTATTGATGTGATAGTCTGTGACCCAACATTTATCATCTGTGGAGACCAGGATTCCTATTTATCACCTGTGTTAAACTTCTAAATTATCATTTGTAGAATCTAAAATTCAGTATGTACTATAATGATTTAGATTATATTTTGTTTGTAGCATAAGATATTGTAAACATTTGTGTCTTTGGTTGAAAGCAAGAATAAATTTGTAGAATGCTCAGACATGCACACACGTGACAATTTAATTTTGCATATAATAGTCATAGTAAATACTAAGTAATATATAGTAAGTAATGTATTTTTGTGTTTTGCACTGTTTAGGATTTTGGTTGGTTAGTTAGACTGACTGAATTGGAGGCCTAATCTCTCACCTTGCAAATGCTTTTATGGAACTCTGTGCACCCTGGTACTGAAGGCCAAATTTTTGTTAGCTTATTCTAAGATTTTAGAGGCGGGTGATGGTTAATGGCTCATAGATTTTTTGTAAAAAGCATATATCCTTTCAAGAACAATATTTGACATTTGTAATGACTTAGGAGGATGTTAATAACTATTTTGACTTATACTCATTTCTTGGATATTCTTAGTTCTTTTGTGATAAGCTTTGCATTCCAAGCTCTTACTTTGATTCATCTCTTGATTAAATTATTTCTTTAGCTTTATTCCAGAAGGCCATGCATTTCTATAGTTATTTTTATATTGCATTTGCATATGAATTACATCTGATGGTTTTAAATTATTTTTATTAAGAAATTTTAAGTGTCATGATCACCTAATTCCTTCTTGCTTGAGAAAGTAATTGTGCTTTATATTAAAATATAATAAATAAAAAATTTTTAAGGTCGAATTTACAGGCACTCCCAGCAACCTTTGATTACATATGAACAGTATGATGTGACAGGCCCTCCAAAGGATGCAGGAGGGTCCCGTTCCACCCTCATTCTGAAGGCTCATGGTAAGTTACATGTTTCACATCACTAGTATTTTGTGGGATGAATTTAATCGATCCAGTGTTGACTGGATTGGAATGGTGATTGACATAATAGTGAAATTTCTGTTCTTTTTTATTTAAACATTAACACTTGTAAGTGGTATCATCCATCTTATTTTTTGTTAGTTTTTGTTAAAATTGTAGAGTAGGGCTAACTCAATGGTTTTAGCAATGACTGCCTATTAAAATTACCAACAGAGATTTCAAGATCTATGATTGTAAAAAGTATGCCTGTCATTTCCAAATGAAGTCATGTCTGAGTATACAGGATTAATGAATATGAGACTAATTTTTTTTACCATCTATTAAATAAATGTAGTATATACTACACCATTGTAAAATATTAGGGTTTTGGAAGAATTTAGTATATTCCCTTCTCCAGAGTTATTCTTTATAGCTGAGTTTACATAAATTTCAATTAACAGCAGTCAAGCTTGAAAAATTTTCCATTGCTAATTTGTTTCTCATGTTGTGGCTCCAGCTTTGCAGTAGATTTGAAATTACATACATGTTCATACTTCTTTTTTTGGTGAAATGTGAAAGTTCTGAAATAGGTGCAGACGATCTGTGCTAGGATTATGATTAAGAGCACAGTTGCTGAAGCCAGATCAGGTTCAAATCCTGACTATGTAAACTTGAGCAAACTACTTCTCTAAGCCTTACTTCCTTCATCCAGAGCAATTAGAATAACGATTGTCAGCATGTCATAAGACTGAAAAGATCAAGTTGATTAACACGTGTGAAGTAGTTAGATTTCACAGTCCACAGTCTTAACAGCTTCATAGCCCACCGTTAGGAGAAGGTGCTGGAAAGAGCTACATTGCAAAGGATCTCTTAGGTCAGCTGAATGTATTCTCTTTGTTTTTGCCTCTTGGTTATTTAAGAAATGGCATAATTGGGCCTACTAGCATCATTCTTTTTTTTCACATGTAGGTGCCTTAATGTCCGTGGCATGGATGACTACCGTTAGCATAGGAGTACTGATTGCTCGATTTTTCAGACCTGTTTGGTCAAAAGCTTTCTTCCTTGGTGAAGCAGTTTGGTTTCAGGTAGGTAAGGGAAAAGGGTTCAAGGCCATCTGTATGTTTTTGTACATTGCGACATGAAAATATGTGAAATATGTTGTGCTTTGTTTTTTGATTTCTGTTTAGGTAGGATTGAGAACCTCTTTTTTTTCCCTTTGGCCTTCCTAACAGAGGATACACAAGATATCTGGTGGAGGTCAAACTACAGCTTTTTGGCCAACAGCTTGCAACTCAATTCACTTCTCCTAGAAGGGTGGCAGGAATCCCAGTACTTGGGCTGTCACCTGCCACCTTCTAGGTACGCATGAATAGGAAGCTAGAGTCAGAAGCAGAGCTAGGATTGGAACCAGGCCCTGTGAAATGACCATCCCAAGCAGTGCGTTAACCACCACTCAACATCACCTGATCCATACAGTAGTTTAAAGCTCTCTCTTTGGACCAGCACTGTGACATAGTAGGTAAACCTGTTGTCTGTGACATCAGCATCCCATATGAGTGCTGGTTTGAATCTTGGCTGCTCACTTCTAATCCAACTTCCAGCTAAAAAGTCTGAGCAGGCAACAGTGCTTGGGCTCCTGCACCCACGTGTGAGACCAGAAAAATCTCCTGGTTCCTAGCTTGGATCAGCCTAGCTCTGGCCATTGTGGCCATTTTGGGGATGAACTGAAAGGTGTAAAATCTCTGTGTCTCTGCTCTCTCTGTAGTTCCACCTTTGAAATTTAAAAAATTCTTTAAAAATACATCTGCCTTTCAAATAAAGAAGAAAAAAAATCACTGATATAGCTGCTCCCTACCCAATAGGAAGAGGCAGTATGAAAAAAACTTCCAGATACATGATCATAACTGAGTTTAGGACAGTGTAACATTCATTGGCCTATCAATGAGAGGACAGTCTCCTGCTCTGAAAAGCTCCTCCCATCAACAAAAATTAAAAATAAAAGATTAATACACAAAAAAGCCATGAAGTATATGCATATAGTTGATTATGTTGCTTAGTGATGTGGACACATTCTGAGAAGTGTTTCATTAGGTGATTTTGTCAGTATAAGAATACACTTACACAAAAGTGGCAGCAGTTGATAAAATTTTGAGGGGCAACCATGGTATATTTGGTCTGTGTTTGACCAAAATATTATGGAGCACATACTTATGTATATATATATACACACATAGCTATGTGTGTGTGTGTATGTGTATGTAAATATATACAAGAGGTCTTCAAAAAGTTCATGAGAAAACTTTGAATGACTTTCAATTTTTTCTGCCCCATAAACTATTTGCAGTACCCACATACATACCCCACCATTCATATATGGTGATATATATACATACACACACCTGAGGTAGTTTTGCTTTGCCCCTGAAATCTTTTGTATAATGAATTGTACATTTCAGATATTTTTCTCTTATCCAGTTACATTCCCAGTTGCTGAGGAGACAGTATCCCCGTCCCTTGCTTGCTGTTTCCTTGCACCTGGTATAGTGCTATGCCTGGTAGAAGAGCTTAACCAATGCCTGTGAGGAAAGGACATACTTGGCAAGTAACAGTGCTCTGTGTGTGAAATATTCACTCTAGCTGCTCTGGGCAGGTGAAGTCTTGGCAGTTATGAATGATGAGGAAGACAGTGGAAAGCTTTCTTTAGAGTTAAGTATGGTATTTTTTAAAGTGGTTCGCAAACTCTGATTAAATGTTTGAATGCAGGTCTTTAGAGAATCTTATGTCGTGACATTTTCTCATTTTAAGAATAGCTCCTTCCTCTTAGATAATTGTGTTTTCACTGTCATCTCATGTTGCAGGTGCATCGAATGCTAATGGTTACTACATCTGTGCTCACTGGCATTGCTTTTATTATGCCCTTTATATACAGAGGAGGCTGGAGTAAGGTAAATGTGTCTTAAGAAGGGTGCTTTAATAAATTCATTTTGATATCAAAACAAATTGTTTTATTACATGTTGTATTTAATTATATTTCTGTGTATGCCTCTTATTTTTAAAAATTATTTGATAGCAATTTTATGATTATGGGTCAAAGTAGATAATTACTTGTAATGATATGAATTTTTAGTTTGAATGTTACAATGTCCATTAAGGTATTAGTTTTATAATCTAAAAAAGTTTATGCAAAATGGAGTCAAGAGATTTTTAAGTGTTCTGGCTGCTCCACTTTCCATTTAGCCTCCTGCTAATGTACCTGGGAAGTCTTTGGAACGGGGCCAAAGTACTTGGGCTCCTGACACCTGTCATTCTGCTCTACCTGCTGCCATCCACATTAATTGTTCAAATCCCATCTTTAGACCAAAACCTAAGAATCAGCCTTCACTATGATTTCTTGTATATCTCATAGCCAATTCATGAGGAAATCCTATTGACTCTACATTTAACATGTATTCACAATCCAGTATTTTTCCTATCACTGATTTTGAGTTTGAGCTACTGTTATGTTTGGTTTGGACTTCGTCAGGTAAGGTCTGTTTTCAATAAAGGCAGAGTGACATTTCAAGCATGTAAATGAGATCATATCATTCCTGTGCCCAAACATGTTTTCCGTTTCTCACTTATACTCAGAGTAAAAGCCAAAGACCTTCTGGTGACCTCTAGGGTAATAATTTGGTACTGAATTATTCTCTGAAATGCCAAATGCCTTCTTGTCTCTGTCTAGTTCTCATGCCACAAAGACTTTTTGCTTGTCCATAGGCATACCAGCTGTTTCCTGATTTGCATCCTATTTTCAAAGATTTTTCTTCCGCCTGCTACACGCTCCCTTCACTCCTCTAACTTGTTCAAGTCTTTGCTAGAGTCTATTTTTTTCCACCTTAATCATTTATTTCCTAGTGGCATTTCATATAATTCACTTAATTTTTTTTGTCTTTTTCTACCTCTTCACAGTAGAATATTAGCTCATAAGAGCTGAAATATTTATTGGTTTTGGCATATCCCAAACACCCAGAAAAGATTCTCATAGTCAATGAATATTAGTAAAGACATGAATATAGCTTACCAACTGTAGTGACATCTGAGTTCAGAACCTGGGCTCCCATTACAGTTTTCCAGTTACATAGCCAGTCTGAATTTGATATCAAAATTTAACATTTCAGAGGTTGGATTGTAGTTCTTGCCATTGATAAATAAGGTTGTATAAGGTTAAGAGCACTAGTCTACAACTAGACTACTTGCATTTTTTAGTTAACTTGTCTATGAAAATGGAAAGAATATAGATTCTCTTGTAGGCTTCCTACATGCTTGTGAGTTAATTGAAAGCACTTAGGATAGTTCCCACCCAGCACAGTGTAAGATACATACAAGTTGTTTTTGCTGTTGTATTTATTTGTTTCTAGCTCTTTATTTGTTTCTGGCTCCTTATTTGTTTTTGACTCTTCCATCATGGTTATGCTTTTATTTGTGTATAACTGGGTCTGTAGTTTGAAAATGTTTATGTTGCTGCTTTGTTAGCCAGCTACTATCTGCTAAGGCTTCCTAACATTGCTTAGAACTGCTGTGTCTGAGTTGTAGGTTCTAAACCTGTAGCCTAAACCAGCATGGTGAGAGAATGGGAGCCAGTGCCAACAAATTGTAGCATTCCTCCATCTAAACGTGCACAGGAGAGAACATTGTTTCAATCTTTCTTGGAAGAGTTCAAGTGGAATAACTTGATCCATGCTACTGTTGTAATGAGGCTCACAACATCCCTTAGGGAAGAATTTAGCAGAAACTATCCAGGATAGCTATAGAAGATTTTCCTGGGTTTAATCTTTACTATGAACAACAGAGATAAGCTTTTGATACAGCGACTCTACAGTTTAGATAACAATCATTTGTTGAATGTGGCTCTGGAGCTTAATCAGAGAACCAGACACAGCTCACAGCCTGGGCCAACAGAGGACACAATAAGTCATTGTAATATGTTGGGATGATTGCTCTTGACATGTGGACCCTGAACCGGGTGCTAAAAAGGTGGATGTCCTGACCTCCACTGGGTGGCCATCTGACATCCTGTGTGGGGAGAGGCAGCAGTCTATAGCTGAAGTCCATTGCTACCAGGCGCTGTCTGGGTTTGAACACAGTAATTGTGTTTCTGAGCTTCATTTCCTCCATGTGGGAATTTGGGGTATTTATATCCATGATCAAGCATTATAATGATCCTGAATGATCTTATGGATGAAGTTTGTGCCTAATGCAAAGCATAAGCTCTGTGAATGTTGTTGAACTTCATCATTATCCACATCATCATTGAATGCTCAAGGTTATGGAGAAACATTAAGTCTGCATCTTTGTGTATGGCTTTTCACTCAAGGTGATGTCACATTGAGATGACATTATTTTCTTCAGCATGCAGGTTACCACCCATACCTCGGCTGTGTGGTGATGACCATAGCAGTTCTTCAGCCACTTCTGGCAGCCTTCAGGCCACCTTTGCATGACCCAAGGTACTTGCAGTTTTGTATACAAATCCTTTCTATGTGGATATCACTAGTTGGGAAATGAAATTATTTTGAAGTGGAAGCATTTTGAATCTTATAAAATTCAGTGATCCATTATCTTTACTTTGAAAGACTTTATAATTTCTGCTCTCTATTTCCGAGGCAATCAGGAAAATTATATGCTCTGTGTTTTCTTGGGTATTAATTGTAGAGCCACCACGTTCAAAAATACTGACTGATTCCTTGTTTTGGTAGAAGGAAAATATTCAACTGGACACATTGGAGTATGGGTACAGCTGCGAGAATAATAGCAGGTGAGTAGATTTGATGCCACTTAATCATATTTAATTGCTGGTTGTTTGTATTGCAAGTCGTAATTTGGCTTAAATGATTTTAGATGCATTAGTAATTGGAGTAATTGGTTGTTGAGGAAAATTCAGCCTTAAACATTGAACTTCAGAAAGTAATTTCTAGAGGTAAATATTTAAGTCATTATTTTAGTTTTCAAATTTAAGGTTTAATAAAAAGGCTCAAAGTCTCCTTTTGAAGACTTTTTAAAGTTTACCTTTACCAGCAGAATCGTATATGCTGACAGCCAAACATTTGAGCAGCTCAAGCTGAGGATCATTTATGGGTTAGATTAAGCTGAGGCTTTTGGTGCAAACCTTTATTGGTCAGTCATTATACCAGAGTATCAAGAAAGGTACTTATGAATGGACAAGATTCCTCTTGGCCCTGAGTTTAGGTTCACAGTTCAGGATTGGCTGAACCTCATCCCTTTGGCTGTATGGTGAAGCTGCAAGTTGGCAGAGGCAGAATGTGCAGGAAAAGGTTCACAGGGTAAGCTTGGAAGCAGGAGAGGCTGGGCCTGACTCAGGCTTCTATGGCCACCCCACAACCTCCCTAGGGCGTGCCCCCAGTGGCCTAGGGACCTTCCACCAGTCCCATGTCTTCACTGGATTAGACTAGTACCATCAGTGCATTAAGTTTTCCATTTTCTTAATGCACGGACGTGAGACTGAGGTTTTAATGAGATGTCTGTATGCATTTGTGAGCCATGTCCTAGTCCAACCCTCATGCCCTCCAGCTCCAGCTGCCTCTGCTGGGCCTGACACCTTCCAGGGCAGGGCGATTATCAAAGGTAAGTGTGATTATCTAAGGCATTTCCCTGCCTTGCAGGTGTATAGCAAGTACACAGAAGACACCTCCTGTGGTCTGAACATGTCTGCAGCTTGTTCTCTGGGAAGATGGAGTGTAGTTAGTTAGCCAACTGTGATTTTCAGGCTTTGCTCCCCTCCTGCAAGGGCAGACTTAAAACTTTCTGGGAAGTTTGTATGTCTCTTTTTTGAAACAGTTGATATATCATAGGTATTGTTTTCTTTCTTGCTTTATCTAGTCTTAGAATAAAAGAAGGACTGACTCAGCAATTTGGTCTTAAACTCTGAGTATGTTTTACTTGATAGAGCACACACACATGTAAATAGCCATACATGTGCTTCATGTGAATGTAATTTGTATTTTATACTTAGTGGCAGCCATGTTCCTGGGGATGGACTTACCAGGCCTGAATCTCCCTGACCCACAGAAGACCTACACAATGATCGGGTTTGTAGCCTGGCACATCGGGACGGAGATTGTTCTGGAGATACATGCTTACCGCCTCTCTCGAAAAGGTAATGTGTTCAAAAAGCCATGTGGACAGAATCATATAAGATTTTCAAATATAATCGGATTTCTGATACTAACAGTTGATTATTACATGGTGGCTCATGAGCAATTTCTATTTTCTTAAAAGTTACAGATACACACGTGAGAGAGAGGAGAGAGAGGGAGGTCTCCTATCTTCTGGTTCACTCCCCAGATGGCAGCAACCATTGTGAATGAGCCAGGTTAAAGCTGGGAGTCTGCAGCTACAATCTGATCCCCTGTGTAGGTGACAGGGGCCCACACACTTGGGCCGTGTTCTGCTGCTTTTTCCAGGCCATTAGCAGGGAGCCTGATTGAAAGCTGAGTGGGGCATGGACTGGTGCCAGATGGGATATGGGCACTTCAGGTGCTATGCCACAATGCTGCCCCCCAAATATGTTTATTTTTGATTACACTGCTGTGGTAGAAACTGTGGGAATTGTCTTCCTTCGTCCTCTATATTTTGTGAGGAAAATAGGGGAATGAGTTTAAATTTTAGGGATGAGGACTTTTTGAACATTTTCACTTTGTGTGCTAATGTGACTTAAAGCCAGTGCATACTGGGAATTCTGAGTGCTTGAGTTGGAGGGAAGCCTGGGATAGAAGAGACCCAAGTCACACAGGATTGGCATGTTACACATATGACACAGGTGCGTATGTGCCATCACTTAGGTTTCCACATATGAAAACATACAGCTAGCAATCTCATTAGCTAGATAATGAAGATCTACTTTTTTTTTTTGAAAGATTTATTTTATTTTTATTTGAAAGTCAGATTTACAGACAGGAGGAGAGACAGAAAGATCTTCCGGCCAGTAAATGTAGTGGTTGGTGCTGTGCTGATCTGAAGCCAGGAGCTCTTCTGGGTCTCCCACGTGGGTGCAGGATCCCAAGGCATTGGGCCATCCTCGACTGCTTCCCTAGGCCACAAGCAGGGAGCTGGATGGGAAGCGGGGCCGCCAGGATTAGAACTGGTGCCCATATGGGATCCCGGCTAGTGCAAGGTGAGGACTTTAGCTGCTAGGCTACTGTGCCAGGCCCTTTCTCATGCTTTCTAATGACTGATTCTTTTTGGTCTCAGAGCCATGCAGGGTTAAGACACTTGTAAGCACTGACAGGAGTGGAGCTATTCAGAGAATGGGTAACTTTTTAAAATAGCTTGGATTCTGGCCTGTGTCAGTTCTGTCTAATCTAGCTTTTCCTTTTTTCTTGTCATATTATCACTTTATGATACAGTTCCATAGGCCCTGGGAATTCTCCTACCCCTTTTCCTAATCTCCCCGCCTGCCCCCCCCCCCAAATGAGTTCTCCCATGTCATTACAACAGTATATTTCCTCACAAACAGGCATAAGTCTGTCATTGCTGGCATGGACAATGGCAGAGTCCAGCATCCTACTGTCAAGACACAACCAACAGTTTCACTGGGAGTCCATCTTCGATCTGGAAGTAGAGATGCACACTGCACTGCATTCTCACATCTGCACATGTCAGTCTCCACTACACAGTCACTAGACATCCCCCAAGTGAAAAGCCACAAAATAAAAGCAACAGGAAGAAAAGTAGAAATTTACAACGCCATGAAGTTAAACAACATGCCACAGGACATGATAGTCTCCACTACACACTTCCTATACATCCGCTTAGATGACTTTCTAGAAACAAAACCCTATTATCAGAACTGTAAGCACACTTGAAAAAGGAAATTAAAGAAGTTTGTTTTGGTTTAAATATGCTTTGAGATTCATTCATAGAAGGTATCTTCAAAAAGGTTTTGAAAACATATTTTATGAAACAACTATGCATGAGTTGTAGGTATTTAAGGCATCTAAAATTTATGTGATTTAAGAGGCAGGAGAGAAGGAGTACTACCACGTACTTGCAGTGGCCTCTCCCTGGAGATGGAGCTGGGACCGGGACCTCAGTCCATGTCTACATTTGTGGCAGGGACTCAGTCATCTCCTGTTGCCTCTCAGGGCACACGTTACCTGCAAGTTGGAGTTCGGAGCTGGGGCTGAGTCCGAAATTTAGTCTGGAACTTTGGCATGGGATATGGACCTAGTGGTATTTTAACCTCTAGACCAAGTGCCCCTAAAATTGTCTCTTAGTCTTATTTTTTCCCATATGCATTTTGAAGTACCCTTATCTGTGCTGTGGACCTAGGTTCAGGGGTTTCCTGAGCAGCAGGCCCCTGAAACCAACGAGGAGGTGAGGCGACCGTGTTGAGCAGCATGAGCCACCAGACAGTCTGGTCGAGCATGTCTTATTGTAAAGCAGGGACAAATTTATATAGACCAAGAAAGGGGAAGGCAAAAGGGCATCTTCTGGTCCAACAATGACACTGTAATTGGCTAGAAGGCATGCCCATCTCTCTGCACCCTCCAATGAAGTCACAGGTCATGAACACTGTGCATGACTGGCAGGTGTGCCCCAGGTCACAGGCAGGTAGGCTGTGGGTCACGTACAGCACATAAGCTGGAAGCTATGTCTCAGGTCACCCTCACCACATGTGGCTGGCCAGGAGGCTGTGCGTTGCTTTGGCTTCTCAGAGTTGCTTATCAAGGAAGTCCCAGCACAGCTCATTCAAGGACAGAGACGAGACCCTGCGCTACAGCCCACTGCTCCTGCCTGTGTAGACAGTGACCAGGGCAGATCGAGATATCAGTGAGCCAAGACCATTGTCAGAGTTCTCTTGGGGACACAGTGTGCCGTGTACCTATAGCCTCCTACATAGGCCAAGCAGGCAGAGACCCAGGGACAATCCCCTACACCTAGGTGTCTGGGTGGCTTTTAGGAGCTGAATAGTAACTGTTGTGCCACTTTTGGTTCTTGATAAGGCTGTATACATGGGACATCTGACTTCTGACTTAAGGTTTGTTGTCTAAAATATATATGTTGGGCTGATGCTGTGGTGTAGTAGGCTAAGTCTCTGCCCCTGTATTGCAAGCATCCTGTGTCAACACTGGCTAGCACTCTGGCTGTTCTACTTCCCATGCAGCTCCCTGTCTGTGGCCTGGGAAAGTGGCAGAGGGTGGCCAAAATCCTTGGGTGCCTGTATCCAAGTATTTAGATACTTTAGATCAGCTCAGCTGCAGCCACTGTGGCCCTTTGTGGAGTGACCCAGCTCTCTCCTCTCCTCCCTATGTAATTCTGCCTTCCAAATACAAATAAATTAATAGTTAAAAAAAACACATATATAGACCCAGCACGATAGCCTAATGGCTAAAAGTCCTTGACCTGAATGCACCAGGATCCCATAGGGGAGCCGGTTCTAATCCCGGGAGCCCCATGTCCCATCCAGCTCCCTGCTTGTGGCCTGGGAAAGTCAAAGGTGGCCCAAACCTTGGGATCCTGCACCCACATGGGAGACCTGGAAGAAGCTCCTGGTTCCTGGCTTCAGATCGGCACAGCTCTGCTCGTTGCACTCACTTGGAGTGAATCATCGGATGGAAGATCTTTCTGTCTCTCCTCCTCTCTATATATCTGATTTTGCAATAAAAATAAATAAATCTTTAAAAAAAAAAAACCTCATGTACTGAAATTGGGTTAACTCCCTTGATCTAGTCAATTCACAATGTATACATCAAAAAACCTCATGAAGTACACCTTTAATATATACCATTGTGATTTCTGCCATAAAAGTCCTCAAGTTTAGGTTGTTTAGCTTGCCATGTTGTTGACTGACTAGCAGAACTGTGCAGGTTTTAAATCTTAACCAATCAGTGCTGTGACAAGTTCATCAAGATTTGTGTGAACTTTGAATCTTCAGGAAGTTTGCAATGCTTAGTAGTTTGAAGTGGGAGAATTTACAACCTGGAAATGAGTGAGCACTCCAAGTTTTATTTATTTTTAATCTCAAAAAACTGGTGTGACTGCCTGACACTGACCTTACAAACTTTTGTTGTTCTTGACAGTGGAAATCCTGGATGACGACAGAATTCAGATCCTCCAGTCTTTCAGCGCAGCGGAAGCAGAGGTACGTTCTTATCTTCTCTGTTTGCATAAACCGTAATGGAGGTACTTCTTATATCTCAGTTTTTCTTTCAGGGTCATGCTTTTAAAAAGGCTGTTTTGGCGATTTATGTCTGTGGGAATGTGACTTTTCTCATCATATTCTTATCTGCAATCAACCATCTTTGAGCAAGCGAAGACTTTGACTTTAGTAGGCCAGGTGGTAATCGCCATCACTCCAGAGACACTTGAAACCGAACTGACTGCTGGGAACGTGTGTATGAATTTTCACTTGAAGACTAAGGTCATGTCAATAGGAGAATTTGGAAGTCTGGTTTTTATGTGACGATCAAATGCAAGTAGACTGTAAACTGATGACAAACACTTCTTTGTAATCTGGGGTCTTAAGGATTAGGGTTGAAGAAAGATGAATGTTCAATAACCCATGCCATGAGTTTAAGATTGTTACAATGTAAGGAAACAAACAAGAATGTCATTAAGATAAAGTTATAAGGATAAAAAAGGAGATTGTATTAAGGTCAATGTATTCTGAATGGCAAAGCTGCTACGAAATGTTAAAACAAACATTTTGACTAGTTTATTTTAATAGTCTTTGGATTTTCTTTTAGAAGCAATGTTTTCTTTTTCACTTTTTTTGGATATGCTACTGCTCTGCGTATTTTGTTCCTTGTAAAGATTTCATTAACATTTAAGTACATTATAAATATTGTATTTCTTAGCAATGAAATGTAATTATGCATCACTTCCTTAAAGACATCTCTACTGATTTTATATGTTGTCTTGACTGTAATATTTATGTTCTTATAACGAATGAACATTATAGATGTGCATTTTCAAAATTAATAAATTGACCCTTCACCCTTCTCTCAAAAGTTATATTTAACAGTTCTAATTTTCTTCTTGGAGTAAACTAAATGTGTGTGTGTTTAGAAGTTACGTGCGCTAATGAATTAGAATAATCCATTACTTTGCTTGTTACTCCAATTTTCTATTAATGGCAAGGTCTTAGATTTTTCTGTGAGGGCATCTAACCAGTAGGTGGCGTTGTAATGCCATTTCAGTTTCTTTCCTGGTGCTGATTCTTAAGTATTTGTATTACATCATGCCATGGCATTTCCACTGAATCCCACTATCTCCACATAATCCTTACTTGAAAAATTCCTGAACTTTTGGGGTCAGGGTCATGGGCTAGAAACTCAATTGGGGACAAGTATTAGTTTCTAATTGCATTTATGTTTTTATGAATTTGTAATTTCCTTTTGCATTTCCCTGACCTGTAACAAATGAATACAAATATTTTAGATAAAGGAAGCAAAGCTAGACATTTGAAAATCAAATGTTCGAGGAGTCCTGCCTTATTCTTCCACTACGAGTATTGCTGCTGGTGGTATAATTTCTGCTTAGTCTCCAAATCTAACGTGTGTCTGAAATAAGAAGTGACCTCAGCTTGCAGAATGTATCTTTTATTGGAGAGATGGCAGTGAAGTACTGTGAATGTTCCTTGTCTCGGTGTCAGGTGCTCCTTACCCGGGCAGTTTAGGGTTTTGGTGTGAACTTTCTGTGCTTATCTTCTTACAGGTGCCATGCCATTTATCGTGTAAACATTTCTTCTGAATATATGTAAAAAAGGGAACAAAAACCATTCAGTAAAGCAAATTCAATGCAAGCTATATTTTCTATTTTCTGTTATATAGGGCTTAAAGGTCAATGTAATTTTAAAAGTAAGTATATTTTACATGTGACATGGGAAAATCCTTTTAAGGGAAAGAAGGACCATGATGTATTTGATTGGAAATATGTGAGCTTCTGTATTTCCTTTTTTTACTGTTCAACATGTTGGCATTATTTTAAGACTTCAACAACTGACATACAGAATTGTCTGGAGACATCTTTGTCATTTAATCTTAAGAGACTAATTCCTTTCACTGGAGCCAGGTCGTGATTCTTCTGGACATGGTAATTGCACTCACCAATTATAAATGCCCATTCTTCTTTCAGTTTTTGAATTAAAATGGATGATTCTGCAAACATTATTTTTTGATAGAAGTGATTGTTCAATTGGGTGCGTTAATAGTCCAAGCCATATAGCCAAAAACAATGTCAGATTTGAAGTTTTCCTCCTAAAGAAGAAATGCTGTGTAAAATAGAGAAGTCTGCTTTTCAGAAAAAAAAATGAAGCAAATTCTAGAAAATTATGGCTAGGGTAGCTTTTATAAGTCAGTTCAGTTTTTAAATTCTCTGGTCTGTGAAAGTCAATGTTAAATAGGCTACAGCATGAATTATCGAAGAAATGAAATCAATGATGTTAGTACTGTTTTTTTCAGGATTCTTGATGCCAAAGTGTATGAAGTGATGCATTTATTCTGCATCCTGCTCCAGCCCATGGTGCACTGGGAAAAGACAACTGCAGCAGAGCCAACTTGGAAGTTCTTGGGGCACATGTAGCTTTTGGCTGAAGTTCTATTTATCCGTAAATGCCAGTGAAGCCGAAAACACACGCAAACATAAAGAACAATGTTCCTTGTTTGAGATAATCCATTACAGATGGGAATGAAAGAAAGGATTCTTCTAAGTTCTTTTCAAGCCACAGTAGAATTCTCACTGTTCCTATTCACTTCCTGCTTTCTTGGCCAACACCCACCAAGCTCACCTCTGCTTGCAGGTCATGGATGATCACCTTCCTGGAATGTCCTTTCAGTTCCTCTCTCCCTAGAACAAACTAGCTGATCAAATGCTATCCCAAGTTCCTTCTTGTCTTTGCACCCTTTCTTCTTAACGACTCAACCAAGACCTCTCGTTGTCCTGACAAGGATTTGTAGGGGGTGAGCTGATCCTGATTACAAGGATGGAGTTGGAGGACTAGAGTGTGCAAGTTTGCTTGTTGATTTAGAAGCTACTCTTGGGCAAATCACTTATCTTTTTAGAGCCCCATTCCATCAGCTGCAAAACCAATTTTTCTGAGTTGTGAGGGTCAAATGCAGGGTTGTCAACAAAAGGCACTTTCTGTGTGTATGTCACTGATGCCTTTGCTGTATGATTGTTAACCTTTGTAGGTTTTGCATATAAAATGCGCATGTATTTTGTAGAAAGATTTTGGTATTCATCTGGAAAATGTTATGCTAAGTGAAATAAGTCAGATGCAACAGGACATCTTTTATATGATTCCGCCTATATGAAACACCAAGAGTAATCAACTTTGCAGAAACAGAAGGTCAAATGGTAGATACATGGGATCCAAGACCAAGGGATACTGCTTCCTGGGTGCTAACTTTGGGTTGATGAAAAGATTATGGAAATGATTAGTGATGGCTCATAGTACTGAGAATGTACTTGATGCACTGAACTATGCATATCACATGATCAAAATGGGGAATTTTATTATTACCAAAATAAAAAGCAATTCACAATCACATTCACAGCAATATTACACAATGGCTACATCATGGAAACAAGTCACATGTCCCATCAACGAATGAATGGATTCACACACATCCTTGTACATTCGGGAAATGGGACAGTATTTGGCATAAAATCACTGAAGTTACTGGCTCATTGCATCATGTGGATGAATTTCCAAAATATTTTGCTAAGTGAAAGAAGTCAAGCGTGAGAGGTCACATACTCTATAATGTCCTCTGTGTGAAATAATATAAATGGGTAAACTCATACAAGAGCAGGTTTATGGTTGTCAGGAGCCAGATGGGCTGGAAGCAGAGGAGAGTGGGAATAATTGCTTGTTGGGTGTAAGATTTTAATTTTGTGGTGATGAAAATATTTTAGAATTGGATAAAGGTGGTAGTTGCTCAACATGAGTAAGAAACATTGCTGAATTGTCGATTTTAAAATGGCTTTATGTTATTTGTCTCATTGCTCTTCAGCAATGCTTCTAGGCAGAAAGTCTGAGGGTTTTGCTGGTAATACACTAGCAATGAATTGAATTTCTTGTTTTGTTGAAGAGGTTGGTGCCACGATATGTTATGCCTAGTGTAAGGGAGAGGAAGTTCTTAGAGCTGTACCTGTTCTCATGATCTCCTACTCCTATGCAAAAAACATTGTGTTGTCCTGTAGGTTTCACATGAGTTACTATTTTTTTTTAAACACGGACATGTGATAATTAAACTCTAGAATAAGAAATTCTTGAGATCATACATTCTGGGATTCTGGCTTCCACTGGTGGTAAGGTCTGAGCAAGATCTTAAGAACCTCATCCTCCTCCAGAAAAGCTGCTGTGAGCTTCAGAAAGCAGCTCTCTGAGGGCCCTGGGGAAGGAGCGGCGGTGGGGACATCCTGGGGAGGGGTCCTCTGCTTTTCACTTTCCAGCTTGGCAGCAGTTGTGGCCAATGTGGTACTGGGTGAAAAGGGAACCAGTGGAAAGCTGTAGCTTACCCGGTGCCGTAAAGCGGGGAACTGATGACTGGGGCAACTACAGATGTTAAGGGTGAGGGAGGGAGGTGATCATATGCTAGAGGGGGATCTTGCATCTTGTTTGGCCACATCTCTGTCTCGTGAACATGTGTGAACACATCTACAAAAACACACGGCTAGTTTCAGCCCTCATGGTAAACAGGTTCCGATCAGGAGCAATCGAAGCCTGTGTGTTCTGTCACTGTGCAGGACCATCATGTTGGAGGGTATAGCAAGGGCAATTGAATAAGAGAACGGAAGGGCATCTGCATCAGAAAGAAGGAAGTAAAAGTATCATTTTTCTTAGATAAGTTAATATTGCGGATAGAAAATCAAAAAGAGTCTTAAGGATTACACCAATAGACCAGTAGAATCAATAAATGAGTTTAGCAAAATTGTAGGATATAAAATCAATATTCAAAAATCAATGGTCTACAACTAGAAATAGCATTCAATTTCACATGGAATTTTTATTATAGGTTTTATTTCATATTAAATGTGTATCTGTTTATCATCTTATTGAAGTAGGTAAGTATAATTCAGTTTACAACAGTATCAAGAAGATTCAAATAATAAAAAACAAAATATAAGACATGAGCACTGAAAACTGTGAAACACTGTTTAATGACTGCTGGTATAATGGAATGGATCTCATGTTCTTAGATCATATCATTGATAAGGCAATATTTGTCAAGTTGATCAACAGATTCTGTAGTCACTAGCAAAACCCAAAATGGCTTTTTCTGCAATAATTGATAAGCGACCCATAATTTCCTGTGGTAAACCAAAGGGTGTAGACTGGCAGGAGCAAATTAGAAAAGGATGAATTTAAAGAGCGTCTACTTCTTAGTGTTAAAGCCACAAAGCTGCAGTAATCGATGCAGGATAATCCTGACATAAGGATGGACACACAGTTCTGTTGAATAGATGGTGAGTTCAGAAGCAAACACGATCAGCTTGTGTTTTGACAATTGCAAAGGCAATTTGAAGCCAGCAATGGTGACCTTTCAACAAGTGGTAATTGGGTACTGGATATCTGGATGCAAAAAGATGTATATAGACTCCATCCTGGTTAGTACGTACAAAAATTGCTCAAAATTGATCACAGACTTTAATGCAAGAACAACTCATAGAAGGAAATACAAAATTGAATTTCTGACATTGCATCAGACATTGAATTGTTAGATACAATAACAGAAACATAATGCTAAAAGAGAAAAATGGCATATTGGACTTAATCATAAAACTTTTGTGCTTCATATATGACACCATCAAAAATTTGAAGGAGGGACAGTCACTGGCATAATAGATGAATCCGCCACCTGTGGTGCTGGCGTTTTGTATGGGCCCCAGTTTGAGTTCTGGCTGATTTGCTTTTGATCCAGCTCCCTGCTAGCATACTGGGAAAAGCAGTGGAAGATGGCCCAAATGCCTGGGCGCTGTCACTCACCTGGGAGACACAGAGCTG